CTGTAACAAGACTACAAAACCAAATGGAAAATGACGGGTGTTTGTTGACTGCTTTTTTTCTTTTCAGTTCTGGGGATTGAATTTAGAGCCTTATACATGCTAGACAAATACTGTACCACTGCGCTGTATTCCCAGCCCTAGACTAGTTATTCTGTACAGTACAGGGGAAAGCAGAAAGACAGAGGAGAGGGAGAAATGCTACAAAAAGTAGAAAAAGGGAAGAGGCAAACTATAGAATTTTGGATTTCAAAGAAACATTGGAAACATCTTATTTTGATTGTCTCATTTTAAAAAGGAAAATGAAAACTTGCCTTAGGTCATTCATTGCCTGGAACTGTAAAAGGAGTTGGGGGTGAGGAAAATCAGAAACAAGATAAAGTGAAATTGAAGGACAGAATCATCATTTGGTTATGAAAAGAGTTCTTAAGATCAATGATGATTAGGAAAAGAGAAATTACTCAATAATAATAAAAAAATGAGAGAAATGTAAAACTAAAAATATAAGACTTGAAAATGTAACTTTTTATTAGGTAAGGTAGGTAATATAAAACTTGCCTTATACCACCACCACTACCACCCATTTTAATATGATCTCCTTGAGGTCAAGATTGTCTTACTTTCCAACATAGTAATCAAAATCATGCCTTAGGCACAGATGGAACTCAATGAGTTAGATTAAGTTAGACATTTTTCACAGAAGAGGTTACTGTTAACGTCTCACGAGTAGTTGAAATTCCCTTTAGGTATACCGTGATTTCAAGTAAACATGTATGCCCTATTCTACCTTACGTTCACTAAACACAATTGTTCTAGAAAAATACAGTATTTTTAGAGTAATATTTTCTCTTTGATCATCCACTATTTCCTCAGAACACCTACTGTTGCCTAGGACAGACAGGAAAGCATTGAAAGAGAGAGAGAGAGAGAGAGAGAGAGAGAGAGAGAGAGAGAGACCTTTAAAAGATAGAAAATAAGCAGAGGCTCTTCAGAAGAGGGAAGCCATATGGTGAGGTTGATTGGTACCCTGAGTGCCAACTGTTAGATCCAAGGCATATGGGTTTTGCTATGCCCTGAAAATGCTTGTGTCTGGCCAACAATCACACAACACAACAGCCAGATTCCAGCAAAGGCAGAGCAAAGAACTTTTTTTTTCCTGGCACTTGTCACTCTTTGGATGCTATCTGCACTGAATATTGAGATTAAATTAATATTGCTGGCCATATGCTATGTATACTATGGCCATATAATGTTGTCTTGGTTGCTAACTACTTTGGATGCTGAGGCTAAGCAAATTACTGTCCTAGCCACCAGCCACATTTTTAGTATAAGTTCTAGCTATTCCCCACTTCTTCAGAAATCTGTTTCTTGGGGAGCTATGACACACTATGCCACTAGATTCAATTATTTAGAAATTGGCTAGCCCATCAATCCCAGTGTGTCTCAAGTATAAATTTATGCCTCTCTTTCTTTTCCATGTTCACATAATCATATGTGATGATAGTACCCATTTTAGACTGAAAGGTTAGGTCTTGTAAGGAGAATTGAGAAGACTAGATGATCTTTCCCTGGGCCTTAGCCACTCCCACCAACACACTTCTTGATTTAACACATCACGGTCTCAAGCTAAATCTTTAAGCACTAGTTTTTGTGCTTTCTACTTTTAAAATGGTGAACTATCCTGAGAAAAACAGCATGACATCAAATATTGTGTCACAAGTGCTAGATGTGCACTGACTAGTCATGTGGACATTTTGTGAGTTTTAAACTATTTGAAAGCACACTAATTTTTGTATAACTAGATGCAAAGTAGCTCCGATTGAATACAAAATCAACTTAGGAGTGTTTTACACATTGCTTTTAAAAGAAGCTGTATGTATGAGGCACAATCATAAAATATTCTCAACTCCTATTTTTCTTATTCACTTACATTATTTCCATTTGATCTGGATTTTCTACATTATAAAGTTAAAAGCTACAATTGCCTTGATTTAAAGTTTGTGTTTAAAATCTATCCATTTATATGCAATTCTTTATAGTTATCCTGTTGCTACTGACTCAAGATCAAAGCAGGAAAAAGTCTGTCAACTTGCTTCGTATGGGGGTAAAATTTGGAAGGAATAATGCTATAAGAAGAAAATAGTATAGTGTTGTAGGAAGACTTGAAGGAGGTTATTGGCATGCTTGAGTGTGAAATACTACATTAATATAACATGTTAGAAGAAAATCAATGAAAGATGAATGTAAGGGAAAAAACACCTTCTTAAGATATAAAGCAACTTCAGTTTTCTCTTCAAGGACTTCAATGTTCACTTAATAAAACATAGCATGCTGAAATTACAAAGGTCAATTTACCCCAGAAAATCCCTTAATTCCTAGTTTTTAGGGAATATGTAAGGCATGGCCAAAATTAAGTCAAGTTGGAGTTCTTAGCATGTAGTCCAACAAGAAGCACAGTGCCATGGGTTTAGTTGAGTGAGTGAATGACATGGCAACCACAATGAGTTGGCAGTTTTAGTTTGTAAATGTATATGATTTTAAAAATATAATCACTGGATCTTATCAAATAACAAAATAACGCTAAAACCACTGGATCTTATCAAATAATACAATAACCCTAAAAACCACTGGATCTTATCAAATAACAAAATAACCCTAAAATATAAAGTTCTAGGTTCTAGAACAAAATGAGATTGTTAGTAATTTTTATTTTATTCTTTGTGGGTGTGTATATTTTCCTGAGTTTTTAACAGTATAAATGACATAGGAAACATTTTTCAAGATACATACATAGCTTGAATTTATCTTAGAGTGAACTTTAAACATCTGCTTATTACTTATACCAGTGTTTCATCTGTGTTTTGAATTACAGAGAACCTGTTGTACATTAAAGGCTGTTTTTAAGCAATTATAATTGAGGACAAGCAACATTTCTAGTGTTAAAGAAACTAAAACATAGAAATGGACTTAGAGTTTCTGTCACTGAAACAAATCAACACCAGTTCCATTTTATAGTTTTGATGTTTATCATTTTCTGAGAAACAACCAACATACTGTTCAAATGCTAGCATTCTTGTTTCAAGGACGGTCACATTTAAATCTTTAAAAATTCCATGCTAAACCTAAAAAAGCAATCCATTACTCTTCTTGATATTAGGTTTTTCATTCAAATGGATAGAGCAGAAAGCTAATCTGAACCACTGTTGCAGTTGGTAGCTGAATTCTGTGACTAATGGTAGAGGTATCAGACTAGGTGGACCACATGGACTTAGTTATTTGCCCACTGGAATGACACAGTGGGGAGGTAATCTGATGAATATCATGGAACATCTGCGGGTGGATCACAGATTTGGCTGCTGTGAATCATTCTTCCCTCAAAAACCTAAACTTTAATAGTTAAAAAATTCCAAACTGTTGTCATTGTATAAACTGAGTCATTTGGGCTATTCCGGAGGTTGGGAGGGAATGAATTTTGCCAGTAAATTGTTTGGCTATATTTTAGACCCCTAAAAATGTGTTACTGAAAGTGATCAGTAAAAGCCTTGAGCTTTTACTGCAAGCAATAAAATATACTTTCTCCAACTACTCACCACTGTCATGGAGGCTACAGCACATAAGTCTTCAGAGCTTAATACTTTTAGTAGTTTTCTGTCAATCTTTAAATTCAAAAGGTGTAGTTTAATGTGGCCATAGCATGACAACTGAGGCCTTCCCATGCACAGAATTTTCATGACACTTCAGGGGCCCTGGGAGAAGCGTTTGGTGCCTAGTTCTTTAGGCAAAAGTTTTTTTTCACTAAATTATGCTGTTTCATATAGATTTCCCAAGTTTATGAAAAAAACTTTTTTAAAGAAAAGGTTACTGTTACTTAACAATAACTGAAGAAAGAAAGAAGGAGGGAGGGAGGGAGAGAGGGAGGACTGAAGCACTGTGTGAAATTTGCTAGGTGTAAAGCTGTGGTTACCTGAATGCTGCCGATGCTGCTTTGAGTTCTTTATAAGGATGGAGTTAGCGTTTGGGGGAAACAGCTTTACTTGTGCTTTTATATCCATTTCCAGGACTAATATGTCAATAATGTCCTTTGTATGATCTGAAACATTTGTTTCTATTTAATATCCTAATATATCTGTCTTTAATTCTTTTGATTCCTGGCACTAGAGCAAAAATGAGTCTCTATATATAAAGTCTCTTTACCAAGGATGTTTATAAATAAGTCTGTGTTATGTGTCATTGCGTTTTGTGAAATGTGAGCAAGTTGTGATGAGTATGTTTGCCAATAAATTATAAGCATGTATATATAGTTTTATAAACTGTATAAGAATATTTAGTTGCAATTAACAGATCACAAGGACTACTTTTTAAGACCAAGATAAGTATTTTAAAAATATTAGTATTAACTATGTATGCACCTCTTTAACAATGGTATAATCAACAGGTATCCAACGCTGTTAAAATAAACAGACTAGTTTCTTAGAGTCCAAAAGAGGTCCATTGCAGTCTATAATCTCTAAACTTGATGAACTTTTGGAGAGATACAACCGTGAAAGGAAGAAGAAAAGTGAAAGCATGGATGCAATGTGTTCCTAATGAGAAGGAAGTTGTTGGGTCTTTCCTACAAAACATCAGACCATAAATTAGTCCCTGTTGTTTATAATTAAATATACATCCATTGTCTTATTGAAATGAATATTAATATTTTATCTCATGATATTTTGGACAATTCAAGGACTTTTTTTAAGGAAACCATGAAGATGAACATAAAAATGGAAATACTAATTCCAACCTCAGAACTATGTTTCCAAATATGAGAATAATAATTTTGTCTAAATTTGAATCTAATAATCAGCTCCTCTCTCCTTTTTAGAAAAGTAGACTAGTGTTTCTGGAACAGATAAGACAGCAACGATCCAGTGAGGTTGATTTCGCACAGAAGAAAGTTATATATACCTAACTTTTTGAAAAGTAAACTACTCTCCAATTAATGGTGCCCTCCTTTTTTTGAGGTATCCAAAGACAAGAGGTGGTCTGTAAAAGATTGGATGACAACTCCATTGTCCAGAACAATTTCTGTGATCCTGACAGTAAGCCACCTGAAAATCAAAGAGCCTGCAACACTGAGCCCTGCCCACCTGAGTAAGTAAGATAAAAAAGTGAGAATAATTTTCTTTACGTAGAAGAAGAAAAACATTGTGCATTCATATTTGTGAACATATCCTAGCCTCCTGAAAAGTTGCCAAGTAAAGATCACAAAGTAGCTAGGAGCAACAGAATTTTTTGTCTCAAAAATTCAGCATATTCTCATAGAATTTTGAATTCAACCTATCAAGTTAATTTATTGACACTCAACATTTTAAGTATCATGTTTAGAACTTGGTTGGTCATTTAAGGTCTCTGAAGGTTGTACCTGTTTTATTTTGGCATGAGCTTCTTTATCTGTTCAGGCTTATATACTTAAATGTCCAGCATCCTTAGAGATTTCAACCATTTGTCATCTCAATGAGACGTTATGGTACATTATGGATTTGAGTATTGCATTTGAGGTTTTTTTAAATTGGTTTAACAATAATTGTCATTAACACATCTAATTGAAATTAAGTTTCCTGTGTTCTTTCCTTTTGTAGTTCTAAAATAGACTTACGTGTTTAAAAGTTTGGAGATGGGGGATGGAATCTAAAAGAAAAACATAAAAAGAATATATGAAAGTAGAAAAGTTTAGTCTGACATCTTTCTTCTCTAATTTTGAAAAATCTAAGTGTCCATATCTTTATATCATTATTAATCCATTTTTCTTAGTTCTTTTTAAGTTTCTTCTTTATGCTTCTGAATTCACTGTTACTGAGACATTTTTAATCTTCAGAATGGTTGCATATGTAATAAAATTCCCTGGAGATAGTTTTATTCTAGAGATAAAAATCATAGACTACTATGATTCAGTAAGATGTGACATGAGTTTACAAAAGAAAAGAGAAGCTCTCAGGCTAGAGAGATGACTCAGCTGTTAAGAGCACTGACTCCTCTTGCAGAGGACCCAGGTTCAGCTCCCAGCACCCACATAGTAGCTAACAACCACCCAGCACTTCAGTTCCAGGGGATCCAATGCCCTCTTCTGACCTCCATGGACATTGCACAACACAGGTGCACCTACACACATGCAAGCAAATACACTCATACACATAAAAATAAAAATAGTCTTGGCACCCATGTCTTGGGGGTATATACCGTCCTTAAGCATTCTCTCCCGTCTCACCCCTCCCAAGCTTAAATCTAGCATGTAATGTTCCTTATTTCTTCTTAATAAATGCACTCTGACTTGTCCTGGAATTCTCTTCAGCATAGTCAAGCATCCACCTTTACCTGAGTGGAAGTTCCTAAGTAGAGAAACTCCTCAGACTAACTGGCAGCAGTACTGGGCTAAGTCTCCTGCCAGTGATGACAATACTATTCTCATTTTACATGTAAGAAAATTGAGGCACCAAGAAATTAAGTAACTTGGTCAAGATTACCCAATAAATGGGAGCAATTAGAACCTAGGATCTGAGCCTTTACCCGTCACAGTTTTTATCCTTCTGGTTGTCCAGTTTTTACTCATTCATACCCCAGACTATGGGAAAGTAACATACATGTAGGCAAATGCACTCGTGCTCATAAAGTAAAAACAATAAATAAAATATTTTTTAAAAAAGAGAAAAGAGGGGACTGGAGAGATGGCTCAGCAAGTTAAGAGCACAGGCTGTTCTTGCAGAAGACCTGGGTTCAATTCCCATCACCCACATGGCAGCTAACAACTGTCCATAACTCCAGTTCCAGGGGATCCGACACCTTCTTCTGTCTTCCATGGGGATTGCAGGACATGGGTGCACTTATACACATGTAGGCAATACACACATATACATAAAATAAAAATAATAAATAAAATGTAAAAAGGGAAAAGAGAAGCTCTTTTTGCATATGATGATGAAGAGAAGAGGATTAAGAACACCTATAATATTCCTGTATGTATGTATGTATGTATGTATGTATGTATGTATGTATTGATGTATGCATTTCTAGTTTCTTTCTATGTATATATGTAACATACTAAAATGGTATAGTACTTATGCATTATAGTCAGTTCTCAGTGTATTTTGAACATCAGACATCTTTGGCATCGTTTGGTAATTATGTCATTGTTTCTTTAACTTGGTATTCCACTGTTGTATACAATCTTGGTTCTGTTCAAGTGCTTCATCTAACCATTTTTGCCACTAAAATGTTGCTGTCCATAATTTGCCCTATGCAAAATAAGCAGGAATAGAATTTCTGGTCCAAGTGAGAGAGTATTTATGGCACATTGTCAGGTTGTTCCCCAGAAGTATTTTAAGAACGTATCCTTCCACTAGTGGAATATAAGAATTCCATTTTCCTAAACTGAATACAAGGCATTTTATTTTTAAAACATCTTGATTATTTTGTGGAGGGAAAAGTTGTAATGTCTAGTTGCCATTCTGTTTTGCATTTTTAATTGTTGATTAGGCTGAAATTTTAACAGTCCTGTTCAATGTGCATTTTACTCCCTCTTTCTGGCTTTTCTTCTTTGTGACCGGTACCATTTTTTAAATAGAAGTATTTGTTATTTTGTTACTAGTTGTATAAACTCTTGATTATATTGAGAAAATTAACTCTTACTTGTGTACATGTTTTTCCTACTTCGTTACATGTCTTCCATATTATTTATGATATTTTTATTTATTTTTAGTTATAAAACTCGAAATGGACCAGGCATGGTGACACATGCCTGTAATCCTCGCACTGGGGAAGTGGAGGTGTGAAGAGCAGGAGTTCAAGGCCAGCCTTGGCCATAGAGAAAATCCAGGGCCAGGCTGCACTTCATGAATCCCTGTCTCAAAATAAAATAAAATACAAAAAATGTTATTTAAATTTTCTATTTCTTTCATTAGTATAATGAAAGTTCTTACCTACTCTACTATACTCTCAAAGTTTTTTTCTTACATTAATGTATGCTTATCTATTTGAAATAAATTTCCCCTGATTTGAAGAAGGAATCTATATTTTCAAATATTATTTTCCTAAGACTATTGAATTAAAACCCTAAATAGTATTTTTTAAATTGGAAATTATCTTTTCAATAATGAAATATTTTTTATGTCTCTAGTTATATTGAGAGCATATATATATATATATATATAGTATTGAGAAAGATTTGTCATTGAAAATGATGAGAGATTGGAAGAATAGACAAAGAGTCATTAGCTGATAAACAAATATTGTTTATTTGGAAGACTTTGAAAAGCCAGAAGAAGCCTTGCTGGGAAAAATAAGCACGCTCACAGCAACAACTTTTTAATGAGAAAGAATATAGTAGTCAAGGTGGTAAACTGGGTGAAAATAGAATCCATAATGTGGGCTTGAAAGGTTGGAAAACAGGGAAAGGAGGGATTGATATTAAAGGATGTGACAGATAGGAAGCTAGTGGTCCTGCATGAGAAAAGAAAGCCGAGTCGAATACAAAGAGCAAAGCTAAGAGTCCAGTCTTTACCGTGCTGTGTTTTAACTGCAAGGGTATTATTAAATATGACCTCACATGTAGAATCCTTGAATATATTATTCCTCTATAATACTATGGTTTTTAAATTTGTGAAAACCAGAGAAGAAAAAACAACCCTATATTTTGTAATAATACTGAGAAAAGAATTTGAAAACATTGATTAATCAACTAAAATGTAGAAATCACTTTAGTTTCTTAAAGACTATTTGGGCAAATAGATAAAAAAAATGACTATATGTGTAATTTGTCATTAGGTTGTTGGACTAATATGATTCCCTCTAGTTTTTTAAAACTAGCTAGGCATTATTTATTTATCTCTTGTCTCTCCCTGTCTAACCCCTCCACCATGGCTTCCCCATTTAAAGACTCCCCATTTTCCCCAATTCTCCCTTGATAATACCAGTCTCCTATGGTCCCACCTTTCTTGAGTTCCTTCTTTTCCTTTTCCCCAAGGTTCCTTGTATAACCCTCCCTACCCCCTCCCATTTAAATACCCCCCATTTTTGTCCTAAAGCGAGGGATTCTAGATAAGATGACTAGACCTCAGTAGAAGAACTTGCACTGAGGAACGTCTGGGGACACTAATTTGACACATTAGGCCTTAACACAAATGACAGAAGTATGACTTTCAATGGAGATGCTGTGGGAGGGTGCCAGTGGGGATGGGGGTATAAAGATGATTAAGATCGATTGAGATGTTCTGTATGAAATACACAAAAATTCAATAAAAACAATTTTTTAAAAAATGACTGTAATATAAAAGGCATGGTTGTGCACACCTTTAGTCCCAGCACTCAGGAGACAGAGGCAGGCAGATCTCTGTGAGATCAAGGCCAGCCTGGTCTACATAGTGAGTTCCAGAACAGCTGGGGCTATAGGGAGACCCTGTCTCAAAAAAAAAAAAAAAAAAAAATGTGTGGGATGGAGAGATGGCACAGAACATAAGAGCACTGGCTGCTCTTACAGAGGACCTGGGGTTCAATTCCCAGCGCCCACTTGGCAGCTAATAACAGTCCATAACTCTAATTTCAGGGGAATCTGATGCCCTCTTTTGACCCCTTCAGGCATTGTACAACATTAGTTCACTTACCTACATGCAGGCAATACAGTCATATACATAAAAAATAAAAATAATTAAATATTTTTTAAAAGGCGTAATAAGAGAATTATAAGCAAAAGTGCTCAGAGTAGGAAAAATTTGTTTGTTTTTTATAGTAGGGATTCAACATACAGTCTTGTACACGCTAAGCAGGTACTCTACTATTGAGCTATAGTCCTAACCATTTAAAAAAAAAATCTATTCTAAAGTGGGAGCTCATTAAGTTGCCCTGGCTGACTTTATACTCATTTTGTAGCCCCAGCACACCCCCTGCCTCAGCATCCCAGTGGCTGAGATTGCAGGCCCAGCTAAGAAATGTATTTTTATACAAGGGCAAGGCTTTGTTTAATAGTATCTTTTATGGTTTAATGTTCAACAATTATTTTGGGTCATTGAACCTCACCCATGTCCAACTACAATTTGTTATTTTAAGTTTAGAAAAAGATTCATGAAAGTTTTCTATAAAACTACAAAATTTAAGACTAGGAAGGATCATAGAAGTCATTTGGGCCAACTCTCCTCATTTCACAGATGAGGGGTGTTAATTTCTGGTGATGTTTTTCTCATTATGCCAGACATCCAAATTGCAAACCAAATGTCTGGTGGCACTTTATGCATCTAATTTTGTTTGTTTCATCAACACATTCTCATTTGGCACAACTTAAAAGACACATTAATTTTTAAGAATTGAGGAAAACCTGACTGTACACTGTTTAGGGCGTACAATTCTGCTTAATATTATCTTTCCAGTCAGTTGAAGAATGGAGAATTGTTTTTACTCAATTTTGCTTTGAAAAAAATCTTTTTTTTTTTTTGAGACAAGGTTTCCCTGTAGCCCCAGCTGACCTAGAACTCACTATGTAGACCAAGCTGGCCTTGAACTCACAGAGATCTGCCTGCC